ACAGTTTGTTTTCAATTTGCATGTATTTCTCCAGCATTGCCGACCTCGGAGTTACGCGGTCAATGATTTCCAGTGTTATATACTGTGGGGTTCGCTCGAATCGTCTTTTGTTGCTCTCAGCGAGCTGGGTGACGATGGATTTGAATGAAGAGCTTGAAAATTTCTCTTTAAATTCCAGGTCGTAATGCTGGATTTACATGGTGGTTGGGCTGAGCTCTGTGAAGAGTGGAGGAGCAATTTTGTTGGCTTTTCCTGAAAATGATCGGCCGACAGATGAACACTATCGACGCCGCGGCAACAAAAGTGGATAAGGACATCGAAACCAAATGTACTTTAAGTTCTACAGTCAAAACTGAGTGATAAATAGTTTTCGAGAGAGTACAATAAGTACATTTTTAATACAAAGAAGAAAAGAAAGAAAGAAAGAAAGAGAAAGAGAACAAAATTAAGAAGAGAGACTAATGGTGCTCCGATTAGACAATACTTCCGAGATCCTCTGGAAGTTTCTTGTATAACAACTCGAGTTTAATATAAATATCTCCACGGTTGAGGGTATTTAGGGCACAAATCCTACGCTTCATCGACGTTCCACGAGATATACCGACAAATTTCCTGGCAAATTCGACATTAATCCAACGGGGATTTGCGAAAAATTATCGTAAGGAATGGATGCATTTTGAACTCATTAAGCGGCTATCCATTCTATGAACATCACGGTAATTCTAGATTTTGACATCAAAGCCCATGTTTCAAGAGGGGAAAGAGGAGTCCACGATCAATTGAAAGATTACGTTGTTTTCTCTCGGGTGTTTCAGCGGAGCTAAACGAAGCTTCACAACGTTCCATGAAAATTTGCCCGAGAGTTGAATAAAGGATTCCCGTGTACGACCGGAGATGCCTAGAAAGATGTTTACTACGGGTTTTCGTTCCTGTTTTTTTCTGAGGTGTAGTGGTTAAGAGTCTTGTTTCCAGGAAATAAGCAGCAAGTTTTTGGTAATCAGGTTCGATACCTTCCTTTGTGGATGCATTTTGAACTCATTAGCGACTATACATTACCATGAGAGAATCACGGGCAATTTAGATTTTGACATCTCTGGTAATATTTCAGAGAGGGAAGAATCCCCAACAATTGAACGATTACGTTGCCGCTTTGAAACTTTGAACAGATGGTGCTTATCGACGCCGGAGCAACTGGTGGATAAGTACGTCAGCTTTAAATGTTCTTTAAGTTCTCAGTCAAATTGGTAATTAATAGTTTTTGAGAGATTACAATAAGTACATTTTTAAATTAATTAATGAATAAATATAGAAATAAAAAGCAGATTATTAATCATTAAGAAAGATGCGCCGCATTTTTTTTATATTTTCGTTTACCACGCAATTGCTGCCCGCCATCTAGCCACATTTCGAGAGTCGAGTTTCGGAAAAAAGCCTTTATAAGGCTGAGCACGATTTCCCCAGTAGACGCAAGCTTTCGACACGTTTTTCTCGCGTGTTTTGCATATATGGCGTTGACTTTTGACGTTTCTTTAGTCAAATTTATTGAAGAAATTCTATTAAACCAAACTAAGTTGATTCAGCTTGCCTCAAGGTTATAAACCATTCAAAGTTGATTGACTTCTGGCAAATTGGTAAGTAAACTTTGACCAAAATTTCTCTGTGTTTATTTATAGACATACAAGTTAAATTGTATTTTCTATAAGCAAATTTAGTCGGGATTCTTTTGGCTAACCTAGTCAGATGGGTCATTGGGGGGTAGAATTATAAAGTAAAATAGAAAAGGGAGTAACGTTTCAGAGCTCGCTAAATCATTTTCTGCCCAAGTGCCATTTTGACTATAGAAAAACAGCCCACTTTTTTTTAGAGTTTTTCTCAAGAACTGAACTTTATCAGTTTTATTTTTTTTAAAGTGTTCGATAGGCGATTTCGATTATTGTTCATGTAGCTGAAACATGTGATATCCCAGTTCCAAGCCAGTTCCAAGCCAGTTCCAAGCCTAACCCAGTCCCTGCCAAAGCAAATACAGGAGGTTTTTGGCTATTATGTGTCGCTTAAAAGAAACAAAACTTACAAACTACAAAACTACAGCAAAACTAAATTATTGCTCCCGCGTACGACCGGAACAGTTTTGTGAACAAATTTTCATTGACAACTTTTTGATAGAACGTTGGTCAGACAAGCCCGAACGCGTTTTCTAAAAGGTGCGCTTTTAAGCAAAGCTATAAGGTCGCGGAAAAATTTGCAAACTTTTCTGAAAATATGGTAATGGATAGTTTATTTAAAGGATTTAGGTTTTTGGGGCGTGAAATTTTTTTAATTGGAATGGTTCTAGTGCGGAAATGTGGGCAATAGGCCTGGTAATTTCGGGGAGTAATATATTTATTTTTAATGGTGTTTTTCTTAGCTTTTCCCATTTTAAATGTTTTCTTTAATTTTTAAATAGCATTTAAAAAATTTTAAGTTTGTGAAATAGTAATAGAGTTAAGTGAAAAATTAATAGAAAAAGAGCACAAGATTTTTGTACATTTGCATTTTGAAAAATTTGCTGATGCAGGGTTACGGTAGCTTATCCTTGGCGCGCACTTAGAAAGCACGTTGTCACCTCTAAGGAACACCTCTAAGTCAAAACTCGTTAGGGATCCATAGAAGTGACCCAGAAAAGCCCCGTTACTATCAAGGGTTAGGTCATTGAAGAGGTTCAAAGGGCTTTATTTTTGATTGATTTTGCTCTTAGGGCTCCAAAAGCCCCTCAGAGATTAGTTCACTATCGAGGAGGTCGCTAACGAGAGTTTGACTGTATTTTCACCTAAGGTGATGTTGATAAAGGTGACTATCGTCTAGTGACTGATTACGGTAGTTTATCCATCGACTTTGAGTTGCTTAACTTGTGTATTGAATTTTGACTAACTGCAGAGCAGTGGCAGTTCTCCTCAGTAGCTTAGAGTTGAAAAGTGATGAGAGACTTTCGTAACCCTTCCTAAGCTTTGATTTAGGACCAAGCCTCATAGCGCTAAATTGGGGAAATGACCAAGTGAAACATCATCTTCACTTGGGTTCCCAACTGATTCGGTTCGACAGTCCACCATCATCCTCTGATCTATCTCCTGCTGATCGCATCGTCGGCTAACGTTTGATTTGGTACATAGGCCAGATCTTTTGTTGCTCATCACCACCGCGTATCTTGTGGTGAACGTGTCGACGTCATCCATGGTTTTGATTTTTCAATTTTATTGCCAAAATATTGATGGAAATTGAAAATAGATCCACTGTCGATGTTGATAAAGATGCCAATGTCGATGTTGATAAAGATGCCACTGTCGATGTTGATAAAGATGTGACTGTTGAAAAAAGTGTAAACCACACATTCTATTCACAAACAACATTGTGCAGCACTTCAAAGATTGCACTTTCAATTCTTTATCCATGCGAATAGTCATTATTTTCCATCAAATTGTTTGATTTTGTCGAGGGGGTTCAAGTGACCAAAATGAGCCAAGTAGAGTAGGGGCTACCTAGCTGAGCGAAAAGCGAAAAGAGGAAGTCAGTCTCCAATTTCGGTTTCGAATTGCATTGTTGCAATTGCTATTGCGAATTTCCGATATTTCATTCTAATTTGTTTTAGTGTTCGGAGCAAAGCTCGTTCAAATTGATTTTGCTCATCTATTCTCTCCAATCATGTCACTCTCATTCGACTACACCGATGGAGATTCAGGTACAGCAGTAGGGATACTTACCGTGGTTTGCCAAAGCCAATATATTAGGTACTTGAAGTGCGGATTTCAACATTTTCATAAATTCATAAATTTCCAACGATAGAAACAGTGTCGATGAATGTCATAAACTTGTTGAAGTTTGTAAATCTCACCTCTACAAAATAGGCTAAAAAGTGTTTCGATTGATCGAACCATTGAAGGATTACGAGGGCCAAATGCGAAGTGACCAAAAGGAATCGAGTCACTTTTTGGGACAGGTTTAGTATGGTCAGAAAATAGAGTTAGCTTCCTAAAATCGAAGGTTTTTAAAAAAGTGTTTCGATTGATCGAACCATTGGGAAATTCCAGGGGGCGAAATGCGAGTGACCAAAAAGTGCCTTTTTGAAACTTTCACCTTTCAACACTTTCACAAGAGTTCGATTTTGACTATATAGTGGAAAATGACCGCCAAATCATTCAAAATATCATTAAAAATAATTAAGGTCGGATCATTTCATGGGAAAACTTTGTTTTTACAATAATTTTCTTTCTTTTGTGAAAAGCCGGTTTTTGTTTGACAATTTTAAGGGTTTGAACTGCTCTATCTAGAATTTCTGTAAATGCATTTCCGTTGCCTTTTTAATGGATTGATTTATAGTTATCCTTTTTTTAAAATCTTCAATTTTTGGGCAGCTAACTCTATTTTGACCACTAAACTTGTCCCCTAAGTGCCTCGATTTCTTTGGTCACTCCATTTTCGCCTTCGAAATTTCTTCAATGGATTCGATAATTGTTACACGTTTTAGCCTATTTTGTAGAGGAGATTTATCTTTAAATAGTTTATAACATTCATCGATATCAGGTTTTTATCGTTGAAATTGATGAAAATCTTGGAATACGCATTTCTTATGCTATTACCTAATAGCTTTGCATTATTTACATGCATAGAATGCTGAGATAAAATTTTACCCCATGCAAACTAGTATACACTAATTTTTATAGGTTTCGGATTGTTTCTCGTTGTTTTCTTTTCCATAGTTCCTGGCGAAATAAAGATGGTGATTACTGGTACTGACTATAGAGTGACTGAAAAGTCCTTTCCATTTTCGACTGAGTTTGAAGCGACGGCAAACCTAAAAACAAATCTGGTACCAAATATAAAAGACGAGTAAGTTTTGTTACTTAAAAATGTGGACTTTCAGCCACTCTGTATAAGTCTTATAACTATCTAACTATGGCAATAGCTAAGTTTTTGAAAATAAGCGCTCATGATAGAGTTCTTGTTATTCAGCCGACTACTCGGCGCACATGAACGCGGTCAACAATTTGTACAACGAGCTGTTCATTAAACGAGCCTACAATCGCTACGTGACCCCGATATACCAGAAGTCTTCGGGGGAATGGCAGTGGTTCGTCAATTGCTACTAATGCCAATGTCAATGCCAATGTCAATGTCAATGTCTGTCTCCAAAAGCCAAAAAAGCTCAAATAAAACCCAATGCCAATGACAATGCTAATGACAATGCCAATGTCAATGCCAATGTCAATGCCAATGCCAATGCCACTAATGCCAATTCCATTTCCTTTTCACAGGTTCCCCACTTGATGTCCATTTCGATTTGTGGTTCCTCAAAATGATTTCATTGAATGCCGAGAGTCAACTCTTGAGTGTTTGTCTTGAGCTGAAAATGGTGAGTTTGGGGAAAACGTTGATCGATAAAATGAATCGTTTTCGTACTGGCGAGACCCGAGACTTGCGTGGAATGAGAGCAAATTCGATGGAGTCGACAATATTTTCGTCGCCTCCGAAGCTCTCTGGATCCCGGACACGCAAATCGGAAATGCGTGAGGCTTAAATAGACTCTGTTCATCCCTAAAATCTCCATCATTTTGCTCTTTGTAATAAAAATAGTTGGCTATTCGACTAATTCGCTTCGACTTCAGCAAAAATGTAGTGAGATTCTTATGAACGATATTTCTTTATCTCCAAACTTTCAAAACCAACCTCACCGAATATCAAAAGGAAAAGACAAAGAATTGAAGGAGTCGTAGACTTGAAAACAAGTATAGTCCGTCATTCTCTACGATCCTCTGCCATCGATTAGCGGGCTTTACTGATCTGCTCGTAGGGGGCCGGGGCCGTTTCCTTTTTTAACAAATGTCTTTTTACCTTTCTTTCAATTCTTCTTTCTTCTTTTTTTCCAAAACAAATACGATCAATTTTGGACGGTTTAACCAATCCATCCAGTTTTGTTACCAATCTTTTTCTTTTCCCTCCCCCTAACAAATTCCCTTCCCGCCAAGCTCGCAGACAAACCTCCTTTTTTCTAATTTGGAAAAAAAAAAAAAAAAAAGAAACACAAAATTTTTTTTTTAAAGAAATTGAATTTGTAAATAATTCATAAAATGCTCGCGAGAAAGTACGGGCTTTCTAACGCAACGAAAGTTTTCTAACAACCTGGTAGCTTTGGTCTGCAATGCCCAAATTTTTAACAACTTAGTAGCTATGGTCTGCAACGAAAGTTTTCCAAAAATCGTCGATGTATTAAAACAGAAAATATCACCTTTTTTTCAGAAGAACTCTCGATTCGGTGAAGGCGGAGGCGGTGAAAGTTGTGCAAATCTTCAGCAATGGCACCGTTTATTTTCCCGTTTTTTATTACGCTGAAGTCGCCTGTCCAATCATTGTAAAAGAATAGCAAGAAAAAGTAAAATGAAACTTTTTGCAGATAAACACTTTTCCTTTCGACAAGCAAATATGCCCAATCATGGTCATGTCGTTAGCCTTTGATGCGTAAGTGATCTTTTCATTTTGTGATTGCGAAAAAGCAAAAGTTCATCTTTTTATCTTTTAATACGGCTCAGTGGATCACTATAATAGAGATTTTAAAGTCATTTGCTTATTTGAAAGCTTTCTTATACTCAATAGTAGTAAGTAAGTATTGATGTATAAGAATGAGGTTATCAACATTCTCATAATTTCAATGATAGAAACTGATATCGATGAATGTTATAAATATTTGAAAGTTGTAAAATCTCCTCTCAAAATAGGCAAAACGTGTTCAATTGATTGAACCATTGAAGAAATTTCAAGGCAAAATGAAAGTGGCCAAAAGGAAGGAGTCACTTTTGGGACAAGTTTAGTGTGGTCAAAATGAGTTAGCTTCCCAAAATTGAAGATTTTAAAAAGGATAACTATAAATCAATCCATTAAAAAGTCTAACGGAAATGCATTTACAGAAATTTAAATAGAGCGTAAGTTCAAACCCCTCAAAATTTCAAAAAAAAAGACATTTTACAAAAAGAAAAATATTGTAGAAACAAAGTTTCCATGAAATGATCCCAACTCTTAATTCTTTGAATGAAATTTTAGGGCGCTCATTTTCCACTATATAGTCCAAACCGAACTCTGTGAAAGTGGGGTTTTCAAAAGTGCCCTTTTTGGTCACTCGCATTTCGCCCTCGAAATTGCTTTTAACAGTTCGATCAATTGAAACATTTTAAAAAATCTTCGATTTTAGGAAGCTATCTTTGACCATACTAAACTTGTCCCAAAAGTGACCGATTCTTTAGGTCACTCGCATTTCGCCCTCGAAATTTCTTCAATAGTTCGATCGATTGAAACACGTTTTAGCCTATTTTATAGAGGAGATTTCCAACTGAATGGTTTGCATTCAAATATATAACATTCATCGATTCATTCATCGATATCAGGGTTTCTATCGTTGGAAGAAATGTTGAAATCCATTTTTATAGTACTTGATAGAAGTAGACGAAACTCGAGAATGAACCGATTTCTCTAGACACTTTTATAGTTTCTTATTAAAGTTAACTATGTTTTGTCTAGTTTCTTTTTTCTAGTGGAATAAAATGGAATTCATTTTATCGTTTCAAAACTCATCCACTAATTGAAATCAACAATTCAGAAAGTATATCTCGATGAGTGCCCAAGTCGATCCATTTGTGCGTGCCTATGCAAGTGAAGAGGTTTGTGTTTTGTCTAACTACAAGTTTTTACGATTTGCCTGTTACATTTAAATGTAGGCAACAATCAATTAACAAAATGAAAAGCATTTTCAAGCAAACATATCATTTTCGTTAATATCCCCGACTTCAATAAAGGCATCACTGTCGTAGCACTTTGTTGTTCTCTTTTGTTATCTCTTCATCTTCGCCAAGATCGATTTCCTCTAACTCGATCATCTCCTCGTTCCAAGCCTGATGTCATTCTGCTCGCACATGCTTTTTTACCTTTTTGTGAATCAATCTTCTCGAAACTTTGTTCCACTTCTGCCACTCGCTTCGGATCCAGTCGGCCAGTTCTTGATCGAGTTATTTGTTTGTAAGTTTCCTCCCGACTCCTTTCAATCCCTTGGACGATTTCCTCATTTTTCACAATTGTCCTTCCTGAATGGAATCCATTTATGGATCATTGCTCGATCTCGAATGAAGTGATGAATAGCCGGAAAACGCGGCCGGAAAACGATTACTCGAATTCCCTAAACGACCCTAAACGAAAAACCTGCTCTCATAATTTTTAGAGGTCCTCTTTGCATATTCGATGGTGTCCAGCTTGAAATCAATCGAATAAGCCTTCCGCTTCTTGAACAATTGCTGGTCGTCCAGAGAATTCGAGTAATCGTTTTCTGACCGAGGCTTTCTATTCATCACTTCATTTGCGTTCTTCTCCCGTTGTTCCCAGAAGAAATCCTCGTGTTCTGCGTGTTCTCGTAGAGCTCGATATTTCTCGAGAGAGTCCAAAAGAATTATTGATAGCTCAGCCATCACTAAAAATAAGCACATTAGCAATTTGATAAAAACAAAAAAAAGAAGAGAAAAAGTTTAATAAACGTAAAAAATAATGAGGATTGTAGAGAAGTTTTGCAAGAAAAAAATGAATGAAATGGTGTACGGTAGCAAAGTAGTGCATTTAAAAAATTTGTTGCTTCTATTAAAGACTGTGCTTTTATTTTCCAATCCCCTTCCTAAAATTGTTTCTATTGCAGACTGTGCTTCAATTAGAGTACAGTAACCCGTACAGTAACTTCAATTAGTACAGTAACCCGTTTACAGGGTTCAGCAGCCATGCAAAAGTTATTGCCCGAGGAGTTCTCAAGACTGACGAAAGAGATGACCACGTGGGTTCGTTTGATTTCACTTCCAGCATAATTTTAGGTTTCATTTTGTACAACCCCAACTTAATTCAAGCAGTTTTTTTAGGGAAACGGTGAGTGGGATGTGACGAATATCACGACGATTAACGTGAATCAAGGTGGAAGTGAATATGTGAGTCTTGGGATAAATCTCAGATTACACTTCTCCAAATATCCTCAGATAGGCTATGTGCTGAGCATTCGTCGAGTTCCCAACTTCTATGTCTATGTGATCGCGCTGCCGTGTTTCATTCTGACCGCTTTGTCAGTGGTTGGGATGTTCTGGACCCCGAACATCAAAAAAGAGCAACTAGTTAAGGTGAGAGCATGTTGAAGATAGAAATTGACTATGTAGAATAAGTGAGAGCGAAGGAAATGTTTGACTATGGCTACCGAATTCTCTCTAATAGTAGTGCACCCTAAGCTTTGTCTAAATTCCTTGAAAAATGAAGTAAAAAGAGCCAAAAGCCAATGAAATTTTCCTGGATGAAATGGGATTTCCTTGGGAGTGATTTCTTTGGGAAAGCAGAAAGAAACAAGTGTTTGAAATCGAGCTATCATTTTCTAGATATCCGGCGGCAAACCAGCTGAATTTTATCATTTCGAGCCCAAGGAATTGGACTCAAGCATAAAAATGAGGAAATCGTTTTGGATAGAAATCGTTTCAGATAGAAATCCTCTACCCACAGCGCCGCCAATCCACTTTTGGCTGAAGAAGCCTTATGAGGGAATCCCATTTCAGCCAGGAAAATTTCATTTTTTGGCTCTTTTTACTTCATTTCATTTTCAAAATGTTTGTAACTTTTTATAGAGAGCCATTTTGCAAAGATGGAAAGCAGGTTCGGAATCAATGTGAAATTCTGCATTGAATGATCTGGGTCTCGATCCAAAAGCTCACCTTAAGTTGGTGCACATTCCTTGTAAGTTAATTGAAAGGAAGTCACAATAGCTATGCATTGACTTACGCTTCGTTAGTCTTTCAGCATTTCCAAATCACTTAACTAAAAACTAAATAATATGGGCTTAGGCTAGATAACTAAATAATAACCTTTTTAATCGAATACCGTATTCTCTTTAATAGTAGTGCACCCCGCCGAGTTGGTGACGGTTTTACGGTTTCCAAGCTTTTGCAGAAGCTCAACACTCAAATCCCCCACAAGATCTCATCGTCAGCTCCATTTTCCGACCCCACATCGATAGGTTCTGATAAGCGGTTCTCGAGATTTCGAGGAATTTAAGCGACGCCCAGGGTGCACTACTATTAGAGAGAATACGGTAGTCATAGTCAAACAACATTTCCTTCACTCTCACCTATTCTACATAGTCCATTTAATTGAAATAATTGAAAGGAAATCACACTAGTTAAGCATTGAATCACGTTTCGTTAGTCTTTCAGCATTTCCAAATCACTTAACTAAAAACTAAATAATAGGCTGTGGCTAAATAACTAAATAATAAGCTAAATACTTGTTAGCTGTGACAAAATTTAATGAAAAATTCAGTTTCTTGAGAAAAATCTGCGATAACCATGATAAGTTTGTTCAAATTTTCTTTTTTTGCAATATCTTTATCAAAACTTCTTTCCAGTTAACCATCGGTCTGACAAGTCTCGTCTCGATGACAGTGCTGTTGGATATGCTCTCGGATGCCATTCCTAAAACTTCTGTTTTTCCGTTATTAGGTGAAACTACAGTCAAAACTTGTTAGTATTAATAGATAGTAAACGAAGTTTGGGATCCCTGGATCAATTTGGATGCTTTCCAATTTTGTTTGACTTCTTGTCTTCGTTTTGAATCCAATTTTGACCTCGAAACTAACCTCTTTAGCATCACGACTTTTTCAGGATCCCTTCACAGGTTTACTAACGCGTTTTGACTATAGTTTTATACAAATATGATAAATAAAGGACAATTAATGCCAAATGAAAGAAATAATTTGGGTATTTGCAGGAAATTCATGTCTTTTATTGGGTTGGTGAATTGAAAACTCCGGGCTATTGTCATATGTGACAATTTGAGCACTTTCTTCAAAAGAAACCCATTTTGGTGTCTATGGAAAAGTTGTAGAGAATCAAAAATCAATCAAAAAATCATATCCAAATTTTCAGAACGATTCAAAAACTGGTTTTCAAGAAGTGTCAAATTTACGAATTTTCACAAAACTTGCATTTCAAGCGAAACTACTAAGTGTATCTTTTTGGAAATTTGGCTACAAGCCTAATTTTTGATTCTCTACAACTTTTCTATTGACACTAAAATGGATTTCTTTTGAAGAAAGTGCTCAAACTGGGACATTGGAGATCTCCAGTCCTCCATTTTTGAGTCTCACACTTGTCTCACACACAAATCAAAATCCTACTACTAAAGAGGAATCCGCAAATTGCCTTTAAAATGGGCAGAAGTCGTCAATAATAATGGAAATTATTTGGAATGAATTCATGGTTTTATGTTGAATAAATTTTAGTTCAAAGTCCCGCAGTTTTCAATTCACCAACCCAATAGTTTACTTAATGCTTGAAAGAAAATAGTGTTAAGCTCTTCCCTATGGGTCGAATGTAAAGGGGAATAAGACGAGAAAAAGGATAAATAAATAACATATAAATGATAATAAAAGGATTAATATCTACCCAAGGTATGTGTCATTATTTTGGTCTAACAATGGTAATTCTATTTGCTTCATAGACTAGTTTACTTCGCAGATTGCCTGTAAAATGGGCAGAAGTCGTCAATAATAATGGAAATTATTTCGAATGAATTTATGGCTTTATGTTGAGTAAATTTTAGTTCAAAGTCCGGCAGTTTTCAATTCACCAACCCAATATAAATCTGATCTAGGTATTTATGTGGTTGTCTGTGTTGGGATCACCTCAATATCCTCCGTTATCATCACTCTTCACTGTTTACCGAATCCGAAAATGAAAGAGGAAAAATTGCCGACAAAATGCAAATTAAGGTTTCCTTTCTTATTAAGAATTTATTCATTTAGAGAAAATTTGATAATCGAAACACTCAAATTTAGTGAACCGGTCGTCAAACCGGTTCGTTCGGCTCTCCGTATTTTCCAACGAAACTTCTTTCTTTTGTTTTTCTTTCAAGCATTAAATGTGATCTTTTTTATCGTGTTTTTGTCGTTTTGGAATTAATATATCGTAGCCGATTGTAAAGAAATCTTCTTTGCGTGCTTGGTACTCTTCACTCAAGACACGTTATTTCTTGTTTTGAGATATCTGATCTCATTTGAACTAAAAAAAATCACTTTATTCAATAGCCGACTGACTCGGAATCTTTGGGCTCTCACTTGAGCAACTTTCACACAAGACCGACAATTGAATTAAAAGTGACGATAAAAACAGAAACAGAAACAATTTCGTCCTAATTAGGACACAACTTTCACACAAAAATGAGAGGAAAGCAGAAAGCAAAATGAAAGATAACCACTAACAAATGAACAACAGTTGCCTTATATAGGCTTTAACACAAGATACTCAGCTAACAAGCTACAAAATAATAAATGATTTGGGGCGCGAAATAGAATGAAGGCGCACCGATTTCCTCAATACTTTTCCAATTTTTAGGCTGTCAGAGTTAGATAACTTTTATTGGCTATTCGCCACACCGATTATGAATGAAACGTTTTTTGGCAAACCTTTCAACAACAAATCCCATTTGAAAGAGCGTAAAATTTCACCCTAGGAAATATTAGACTCAAATTTTTTACTTGTCAATTTTTGATGCATCACTTTATCGAAAGAAACCATTTTTACATTTAAAATGGTTTAATGACTGAATAGAAAAATGAATAGAAAAATGAAACGAGATAGAGTGATTTTAAAAGATTTTTTAATTATACGATCCCCCTTATGTGATTTTTCGGGAAGGATAGGAAAAAAAAATAGAAGGGTATGCCCTTCAATTACAGTATTTACGGTAGTTGTGGTAGTTACGGTGTTTTAAACAAGCTCAGGTGTTACCTGCGGATCTTACGAGCAAGAGCCTTTGTTATTAAAGGTTATTAAAGGTATTAAAGGTACTTATGGTCAGAAATCAACGTATATCTCGTTCAGACTCACTGCTTGCAAGTGCAATGAAGAAATGAAAGAAAATTGATGTAATAAGAAGTCGGAAAGTACTTTTTCCGCCACAAGAAATGCTAAATATTTGGTTTTCTTTGTTTATTTTCTTTTAACATTTTTGTGAAAGCTTTGAGTTGTAATTTTTAACATTTTCCATTTTTAGGATCTTTTATTGAAATTGAATGAAACAATTTGAATGCTCAGGGATCAACAAGTAGACAAACAAAGTAAAAAGCACTTTGCTAATTAAAATTAGCATTTAAACAAGATAAACATTTGAAGAACACAATATTTAAAAAAACAACAACTTAAAATGTTACAAGATGAAGCAATACTAGCTTGGATATTAACAAGGGAAGGTTTTACAGGATTTTACAAGGGCTGAGCCAGCTAAATGCTATGCGATCTTTACCATTCGACGCAGAATTTGACGCTGATTCTGATTCCGATTCTCTATTCCGTTTTTGCTAAATGAGAATCTGCCAGGAGTTATAAGCGTCTAAAGTTTTGTGCTCTAAAAGCTCTAAAAATGTGACCATTTGGGTCTTAACGGCCTCCTTGTAGATCCAATTCATTGCAGCCGTGGCCGAGTGGTGCAGCTTTCCCTTCCGGAGCGAGAGCTCACAACTTCGATCCTCAATTTTCCTACTCTGGCTTAGGTTTCGCTTTTGAGCTTGTGAGCTCTCACTCCGGAAACAAAAGCTTTGCCACTGGCTGCACTGACTGCCACGGCTGCACGGAATTGGGTCCGCAAGGAAGCCGCTAAGACCCAAATGATTCACATTTTCAGAGTCCTAACAAAACTTTAGACGCTTATAGCTCCTGGCAGATTCTCATTTAGCAAAAACGGAATAGATATTCCGAATCAGAATCAGTGTCAAATTCTGCGTCGAATGGTAAAGATCGCATAGCATTTAGCTGGCTCAGCCCGGTCACCTTCCCTTGTTAGTTCAGCTTTCTTTTTCCTTGTTCTCTTCACTGTCTAGTTCTTCAATTTTCTTTGAGTCTTCATTTTGAGCTTGCAAATCCACATAACCATAATGTGAGGCATCTTCCTCCAGCATTTTGTACAGCACAAGACTTATCGATTGGAAGGTTGGCCGGCTTTCCGGCTCAAACTCGAAACATTCAGCAGCAACTTCACAACTGGAAATATTGGGTTGTCCAGTTAGGAATGCGCGTTTTTTACTATTCTGTAAATTTCTCAAGATACCGAAGTCAAGAAAAAGATATATATGAGTATTATTCGAAAGCTGAAGATCCCCTCTACATTTTGATATAAAAAGCTTTTGAATTTGTCCAGCTTTTGGGCAAATTGACTGCACAGAAGAAGAGGTGGCCAAAAAATGGAAGGATGCCTTTGGATCAAATTTTGGCTCCTCTCAAATTGAGTTAACCGTTTGATATTTGGCCAATAGATATATCAATACAACTTTTTTTAAATATAACAATTTCAGAGCATCTTTACTTTTCTTTTCTTTTCTGGGCGGTTATTTTCCACCATAAAACTTGAGGAATGGCTAAGCTGGAATGGGTTTTTTCGAAAACGACCTCTCCCTTTGTGCAGTCAATTTCCCAAAAGCTGAACAAATTCCAAAGCTTTTTATATCAAAATGTAGAGGAGATCTTCAGCTTTCGAATGATATATAACACTCATATAAATCTGTTCGACATCTTGAGAAATTTACAAAATAGTAAAAACGCGCATTCATAACTGGACAACCCAATAGTTTAGTAGTTTACCCAACTGAAAATAAGTAGTTTACTCATTTAGTTTTTAATTGTAAGTTATTAGATTAAGTTATTAGATAAAGTTATTAGATTATGTTATTAGATAAAGTTATTAGATATTTTCTTATCAAAACGCCCACATTGTTTCCGGGGTTTCTTCGGGGAATTCCAATCGATTTCCCTCTTTCAGATGTGCCCACATGGCAACCGGATCGACGCTTACAAATGGAGCTTTTCCAAATGTGAACATCTCCCATAGAAAAACACCGTATGACCAGCTTAACAAGAGTTTTTCTTTCTTCAACTTTCATCAACTTTCTTCAACAAGAGATTCTTCTCAATTTTTCTACTCACACGTCGGTTTTCTCGGAGAATTCAGCTGTTTTGAGACTCTCCGGTGCCATCCATTTCACCGGCAACCGCCCTCCTTTGGCTGTATATTGCAAGGAGGAGCTTCTTCGACACAATCCGAAGTCTAAAATTTATTATAATTTATTATAAAAGACAAATAATATAGTTAAATAGTTTAAATAGTTAAACACCGGCTAGTTTGGCAACGTTTCGATCAGTAATTAGGACGTTTCTCGCCGCCATATCTCGATGAATGATCGACTTTCCGGCCAAGAAAGCCTAAATTTATTTTGACATAGACAATCTACCTAAATAAACACTAAATTCAAATAAATAAACAGCCTTGAGCATAAAAAAATGATGTCTTACTACAGAAAAAAAGGTTATGTATTAGAGTTGAAGAGGATTTTCCGTAGTATTTAGTAGAGATATTGGGTTGGTGAATTAAAAAGTGCCGGACTTTGAACTAAAATTTATGCAACATAAAACCATGAATTCATTTCAAATAATTTCCATTATTATTGACGACTTCTGCCCATTTTACAGGCAATTTGCGGATTCCTCTTTCGTAGTAGGATTTTGGTTTGTGTGTGAGACAAGTGTGAGACTCAAAAATGGACTGGAGATGTCCCAGTTTGGGCATTTGAGCACTTTCTTCAAAAGAAACCCATTTTAGTGTCAATAGAAAAGTTGTAGAGAATCAAAAATTAGGCTTATAGCCAAATTTCCAAAAAGATACACTTAGTAGTTTCGCTTAAAATGCAAGCTTTGTGAAAGTGAAAGTTTTGTGAAGTGAAAATTCGTAAATTTGGCATTTCTTGAAAACCAGCTTTTGAATCGTTCTGAAAATTTGGATATAAGCTTGATTTTTGATTCTCTACAACTTTTCCATTGACACCAAAATGGGTTTCTTTTGAAGAAAGTACTCAAACTGTGACATTTGACAATAGCCGGCAGTTTTCAATTCATCAATCCAATAGCTATCTCTCACAAACTAACCAAGGCATCGCTGATCTGCCAGGATATTGTCCACAAATTTTTTGCATTAATTATACCCTAAAACTATTTCTTTTCGGAAGCGATTTCTTAAGCAAAAATTTTTAAAACAAACTTCTTCCTTTTCGGCTTTTCTAAGAAGTGTAAGAAGATCGCCTTTCTCACAAAGCTCCGTGATAATCAAGGGCATCTTTGGGTCTCTCGAACAACCCAGTAGATTCAGTAAATGTGCATGAACGTCAAGGCTAATCATGAAATCGATTTCACGAAGTATTTCTTCTCTGAATTGCTTTACGGGATCACATTTAAGCAGGGACGAACTTGTCCGATTTTAGCGCGTTGTCCTGACACGTTTTCACGGCTACGTACGTTATCATTTTAATAGAGGCCTTTGCGTTAAACTAAATGTGAGGTTAGCTTCGGGATGATCAAAAGACCCAGCTCAACAAATGAAATGAGCCTCTCTTTATAAGGCCTACGCGCGCACTACGCGACAATGGCTGTGTGGTGCAGTGGATAGTGAGTTAGGATACTGGGCAATTGCTCTAACCACTGAGCTACCTTAACTTGCCAAGAGAATGAAGAAGACAAGGAGCAAGAAGGCTACGGAGCTGCTCGAGGGTTCGCTCTCTCCCTCTTTTTGTGTTTTTTTGTGACTTTAACGAAACTTAGATCGTAATGTTAAAATCTACATTCATTTACATTTATCTACATGAATTCATCTAATGAATTGATTCTAAGCCTTAGCCTCACCTCGAGGAGAACTGTTTATAACTTATAGTTGGCGGCACTTCGAAATTCATCTTCGAATACACCGAACATTGCCAGCATAGTGCTAGTTTGTTCTATGCCAGATGACGCGCGTTTGTATGTGCACAAAGGAACACATATAAGCTATAAGCTAGTAAGCAGATTCGAAACCTCGAGTAGCTACTCCGGATCCTAGCCCATTATCCATAACACCATGCAGCCACTTGCACGTAGAGGAACTAGTTTGCCGTTATAAAGCCGTTATAAAGCGCGTTATAAAGAGGAACTAGTTTGCCAAATTGCTCTCGATTCAAAATCATTTTGCAAAGACAAATCAGCTATTCGGAATCAGCGTAAAATTCTGGGTCAGATGGTATGGCTCATTTCATTTGGTGAGCTGGGTCTGTTGACAATCCCTTGTTAACAGACCCAGCGTTAGTTAGTGTTAAACCTTGAGCACAAAGCATAAAAACTTACATTCAGCCTAAACATGGCTTTATGTGAGGTTGGAGCCTCCTTAAGCAGTCCCTTGTAAACAACTCCACTAGCACCAGCGCCAAGCTTTTGTGTGGTGATAACGATTGTTGATGGGTCCACTTCCCATTTATCACCATGTTTTTGCCAACTGTTTTAACGAATAGATCAAAAAACAGAAATTTCAATTGGCATTTGAAATTCCCACTTGTATTTGCTTAAACCAAGCCACTTGTATTTTGCCATCTCAACACCATGCTAAACAAATCGTTTATATATTCAAATTGATATTCTTACAAGTTTTGCAAGCTCTTCATCGTCTCTGGCCTTCTTTAGTTGAGAACTGAATCATATTGGATAAGAGTACAGTTTACCCCAAGAAAAATTTTGGATCTCGATAAGGAAGCCGGTCTCTTCATCGAAGCTCATTGGTTTTTCGAAAACCATTTTTCTAGGGGTTTTCGACCATGCTGAATTCGAATAATATAGTCCCGATCACCGGAAACGAAAAAAATTCTTTAGCTTTTTTGAAAAATTTTGCCTTGGGGGACCAAGGAAAAAAAAAATTTTGAGTACAAAACTCGAATTTTTGGTGTTGGACAGAGCGGCCTAGCTCAATCGGATAATATTTTTTTGTGTGTTCTCTGCTCGTCACGTGGTTTCTCTTTTAAAAAACCTCTTTTAAAAAAACACGCTGTGCCGCAGGAATACCAAATACAAACCGGATTAGTTTCAAAATGAACAATGATTCGCGTCTTTCCCGATCTCAACTCGACTGAGTCCGACCCAACAACGGCAGTAAAATGTGGATGAGAAGTTGAAGAGAAACGAGATCCAAGCTTTATCCCGACCACGCATCACGGGCTAGCACGCGCATCGCCTACGGCGCCA